CGCTCGCCCGGGCTGCCCCGTGGCCCGGGGACTGGTGTGATGGGGGTTGCTGCTGCTGGGGGCCGGGGGAGGGGGTGGGGAGGAAGGGAAATGACATCAGGAATCGCCTGGCGTGCACGGTGGGGTGACCCGGTTCCGCTCGCACCCCCCGCCCCCGCCGCCGCAGGGGGAGGGGGGAAAGAGAAACTGTCACCGTGGGATTTCATCAGCTTCTTCTGCCTCCCTGCATTTAACCTATTTTCCTTTCCTTTGATTATGTAAGAGGAATGGTGTAGGGATGAGCGATGAGTAGGGATGGCTGATGGGCTTTCTGGGGATTTTTCTGGTTTTTTGTATGTCTAGTTGAACCGCTGGGAGAGCTCTGGGCAGTGAGGGAGAACTACATTTCGGTTTTTTGCTTGTGTTTACGGTTCTTGCAGCGCTCCAAGTATTACAGCACAGTGCAGGACAGAGAGGGAGGGAGGGAAACAGGGTGAAATTGGCCGAGTTTATTTCACACTGGATGAAAAGCAAAGGAGAATTGTCAGTCCTGTTCTGATGATGTTTCCATGTAAGGAAGTACCTATGTATTTCCATGTTTTTAATCTCAGTTTAAGATATGAGCTTATAGCATAGTGTATTTTTATTTTCCTGATGCTCATCATGTAACATATTTACATAATACTAAACGTTTATTTGAATTTTAAAATTTTCATTCAAAACTCTTTTGAGATCTTAATTTTTAAACTTAGAAATAGAAAAAAATGTAGATTGAGGCATTCTGCTTTCTGAGAGTGAAATTCTGTTGGCCAGAGGAGTCTTGTCTAGTAGTGCAAACCAGAAATAATAATTTAAATCTGCTATTATTTTTGCAGAAGTTGGAAATGGAGTGTTGGAAATACTGGAGTCAGGGTTTAGGGGAGGAGAATGTGCTGGTGGTGAATCAAGTGATTTTTAATTATTTTTTTTTTTCCCCTGTAAGTTGTATAAAAGCCAAGGTGTCAATAAATATTTCATCTTAGTTTGTACAGCTCTGAAAACTGTGTCTTTCTGGTACAAAATAGTTTGGTTACTGATATAACTGTTTTCAAGCATCAGCAAAATAAAAAGTCATTTTATTTTGCTGTTTGTTTTCTGAAGTATGTAGGGAGGTTTTAATTTTGTTCTTGGATGGAAAATAGGAAGTTAGAGCTACCTACAGGGAAGCAAAAAAGGAAGTAGTTTGGCAAGGATGTGTTTGGAGCAGCAGCATCGATTAGGCTGTTGATACCATTGGGAAAAAGAGGGTGGATATGGGTTTAAAGGAGTAACATCTACTAGAAGCAGTCAGATTCAGTCTGCAGAATGGTGTTTTACAGCAGAATTCCGGTCAGTAGATAAGCACGTCTCTACCATCCCTCTGCAAAACTGCTGGGAGAAGAGGGGTTGTTTCTCTATCTCTTCTACATTGCACCATCTGTCTGGTAAACTGCTGAAGATCAAATTTGATACTTTTAGTTCACTTAAAATTTGCTCAGACATAGAGGACCCAATGAATTGCTCAGTTCTTAGGAGAAGTAGAGGTTGCCCTCATCTAATGAGAAGAGACTATTATTAGTGAGACAGTCTTGCTAGAGGGAAGTGATCGAGTGACATTTCTGGAAACCAGTCTGGCTATTTTGGCAGAAGCTAGTCTTGCACTTGAGGTTGAGAAGCTTGAGTGTTGAGATGAAAACTAAAATATGGAAGAAAGACAGTACACGACATATTCAGAGGAGTAATAATAAAAACAGTTGCCTTGAACAAATAATGTGATCATTTTATAAGTGATGATTTAAAGCCCTGTTTTTCGTACACCTTGCTATGTGTGAAGGCAGTTTACACTTCAAAAGTTGTATTTCCTTGATTCTGTAGCTTAAATAAATGCCCCCCCCTTTTTTTTCTTAAGACTTCTTTATTATGGAGAATAATTTTGGAGAGAAAGACGGAATTGATTAGCTTCAGGCTGATGATAAGGAATTCCAGTTTCCTATTCATGTTTGGGAAAAAAAAAACTTTCAAAAAATGAAAAGAAAAAGAAGAAAGAGAAATGCTGCTTTATGAAACAGATATGATCATTTTGTGTTTATATGTTGTCATTTGTTCAGTAGTTGAATTATTTGTTTTGGGAGAAGGAAACAAAGTGGTCTGTCTTCTTTAGTTAAAAGTAGGAGTAAAACACATGCAGGGAACTGTTTAAATGTGTTCCTGTTTAATCTCTTCAAATTTAAACTTTACTCATCTGAGGGAGTGTGTGGAGGAGTGGATTGTGAATTGGGCTGCAGTTGCAACAGTCAGTGTTTATGTTGGTCTGTGTGAGGTGTCCTCCATGTGCTTAGGAGGGGCTTGAGAGGTGTCTGTTCTGTCCCTTGATCAGCAGATGTAATCACAGGGCATTGCAGTGTACCAGCCTTGACTGTGACAGTGCAGATGGCACAAACCACATCATATTGCCAAGTAATATGCGTGCTAAGTAAGTCTGAGTGTGCAAGAACAGGGGGTGAAGTTGTTGTTATTTGTGATGAATTAGTAGTTAAAATATCTCTAGCAACTTGAAATATTCTGATAGGTTTTTTATTTAACTACCAAGATTCTTTTTAAAGCTGTACTGTGTTATTTAATTCTAGCAGAGAGCTGTATGGTGAGATGTGGTGAAAATAGTAGGTTTTGGCTGATGTTACATTAAAGCAGTGCTATCTCTACTAGAAAATAGGAAGTCAGACACCAAAAAATAATGTATTCATAGAAGATTTTTCTTCAGGATTCATTGTGCCATTGTTTTATAAATGTGTAAGTAACTGAATTTTGAGTTAAGTTGGTAGATACTTATTGCAGAAACTTTTGACAGTGACATGTAAACAAATTAGTCTACAGAAAGACGTGATGTATCTGTTGCTTGTGTGAAATGTACATGCTTAGTGCTTGTAGGCCAAATGAAGGATAGAAAGATAGGAATTTGTACTAAAAAGGCTGGTGAATTAATGTTCTTTCTTTTCCAACAGAGAATATGAAACAGGAGCCAAAATGACATCCCGATTTGGAAAGACCTACAGCCGGAAAGGGGGAAATGGCAGTTCCAAGTTTGATGAAGTATTTTCCAACAAACGGACCACCCTTAGTACAAAGTGGGGAGAAACCACCTTCATGGCCAAATTAGGACAGAAGAGGCACAGTGTCAAACCAGATATTTCTGAAGTTCCTAAAAAACCCAAAGTTGAAGATGAGGGAACAGAGGATCCATTTGGATTTGACAGTGATGAAGAATCTATTCCTGTGTCTTCAAAGAATGTGTCACAGGCCAAAGGCTCCTCTCAGCTGCAACCTGGTGAATCTGCTCAGTCTGAGGACTTAACTCCTCTACTTGAAGCTAACAGCAGAATTAATCAGCCAGACAGTGGAGAAAACGTTGCATCCAGCAAGTGCATATCTTTTGACAATACTGTTCCTGTCTTAAAAGAGAAGGGTGCAAACAAAAATATGGAAGATGGAGAATCCAAAGGCAGCAGTGCTAAACTCTTAACTGCAGGTATGTTTATTCAACTGTCCAGATAGTTGTATTATCCTCTAGTTTTTACTAATCTACATTTTAATTTTGTGTTTTCAGGGGTTGGTTAAATGTTATGATTAGTGGGACAAGTAATTTTCTATGTAAGAAATTATAAAGTATATGCTATTTAACTAAAAATGTCAGGAAGCATTCTGCATTTTACACATTGGTTTGAGATCCTTGGCCCTGTAATCCTTACATCTGCAGACTGAGATGCAGTGGTTTAGATACAACATAGTATGTTAATCCACTTCAAATAGACTGGAACAATAATCTTCTTTTTCTAAAATATCTTCTGAGATCCATGTGTTTATGGTTTTTAATATGTATTATTTTTAGAAGTGGTGAGTTGATGATAACAGAATGCTTCATTCTTAAGTTGCTGGCTCTAATGTAGTGCAGTTACATGAATGCTACTGTGCAGGCGCAGATACAGCTTACAGTCTGGCTTGTTTAATTAACTGGATGGAAACAGTATTTTTCTCAGCTTTCACAAAGGTACATATCTCCTGTTAAATAAACACATCTCTACCAATGTGTACCTAAACAGCTCCAGACCTATGAAACAGAATTCTGCTAGGCTTCTTTTAGGGGTTGTTTTGAGGCTCCGAAGTGTTCATAAGATATCTTAATACTTGTGAGGGGGAATTCACAAACCCCATGGAGCTGAACAGTACTGTAATTTTTGTTCAAGTCATTCTTGGACAAGATCAGATGTCTCATTAGAAGTTTTCATATAACTTGCTGATTAAACCACAGCTTCTAAAATTTGGCAAGAGATCACATTAGATGAACCTTGATGCAGATGACACCTATTGACTTGTTCTGGGTTATCATAGTCAATTTTAATGAGAAGAACTTTTGTAACTTTGAATTCTCAGATATAGTTAAGCCTAGGATCAGAAATTTGAGTGGACTTGTTCAGTTGTAGTACAGAGGACAAGAAGATGATAATGGAAGATAAGCATAGCTTAGTAATTTGCAAGGTAATTTTGTTAGTGATATAATACAAGAAAAAACAAATGTTGATTTGAACTGCCATTTGACAAGCACATTGGTGGGACATGTAGTTGTCTTTGATCTTTCTCTTGGTTTTGCCACCAAAATATTTCTCGTGTATGTTTTTATGCCATTTATTTACCTGTAAGTATGGTCCATCTTCAGTCTGGAAACATACAAATAATGTTTTACTAAGTTTGAACATAGTTTCAATAAGATGTTTTATTCACCAGTATTTATGACGGGAAGAAATAGTAACGAGTTTCCTTGGTTGTTAACGAGAGGTTGTAGCAGGGCAGGTTTTACAGTGAAACAGTTTTCACATAGAAAGGCTTTGTTAAAACAGTATTTTTCAGGTTGAAGAAGAAAATGTGCAAGCTGTGGGAAGAAAATGTGTGGAACTGTGGAAATTCATATTGTGTGAAAGGCCAAGAGAAACAAACTTGAGCAGTTTCATTGGTACTTCTTGGTTCCACTATTGTGGAAAGTAATATAATAAAATATTTGGTGCAGAAACGCTTCTAAATTTGATGCTTATTTACATTCTAGAACTCCTTGTTAGACAGTACTATGTAAATCATAAATATGTACAGCTCTAAAAGGAAGGCAGCTGATGAATCTTGGTGGATAAGTCTATCAGTGGCTCTTGAGTGTGGTGGTGGTCTGGGTACAGAGGGAGAGGTTACTTAACACATTCAGCTGAGAATGAATCTTTGCAAAACATCCTAGGAGGGTCTCTAAGGATAAGGAAACAAAGGTTGTAATTTGGGTGATAGTGTTTAATTTGGACAGCTAGTATAAATGAAACTTGGATGGTTTAAGCAGCTATTATACTTGTGTGTAGACTGATCCAAAATAAATAAAAATTGTCTGAGGACGTCACTCAGAACATTGAGCAAGTAGAGATAGGGGCATAGTTAGCCAGTGTAAATGTAGGTACTTCAAAGGCTTCTTTGTTATATTGATTGTTAAGTAAAGTTTGATGGTATAAGGCTATCTTTCAGGACTGGAGAGAGTTAATTTTATTGATTTGGAGGTGAGGATATGGGAGAAGAGGGAACTTGGGAGACAAAAAATGAGTAACAATAAAAAAGGTTGTTTCTTGCTGTGTGGTTTCCTAAGCTATAGTGTATGCACTTCTACTGCTTTTGTGTCCTCACTCTCCCCATAATCATTTCCCCCTTCCTGGTTACTCTTGAACTTCAGCAGGTTCAACCAGATCTGTTCACAGGGCTAAGAGATCCTTGAGACAAAAAACTGCTATGCCTGAAGAGGAAAGAGAGGCGGGAGGTGGGGGGGGAGGGGGTGGCGGGGAAAGGCAAGCAGGTAGAACTCTGCTAACGTTGCCAGTGTGCGAGAGACTGCAATGCGAGTTCAGCCTTAATCCACATAAAATGTTGTGTATCTGGGTGTAGGAAACAAGGCTATATTGACACTGGTGTTTGTGAAAGTGCTTGGTAACTTTTTAAGTGCAATTTGCTAGTCTTTGTCTAGATACTGACTAGGCAATGTGTGAATTAGGGTGCCAAGCCTTCCTGGTAGCATGTGCCATCAATATATCTTGGTCCTTAGCCTAAGTGAAGTAAAGTTAAGAATTAGAATGAGGTGAAAACTGTGACTTAACATGTCTATGGGCAAGCAGTGGGCTACAGGTTAGTCTGCTCATTCTTCTCCAGCTGTATTATCCTGCCTCGATGTCCATTTCCTTGAACACTAAAATGAAGGTGATGCAATGTCAGATAATTTTAATGTTTGGTATTAAAAAGTCAGGGTTTTTTGGTTGTTTTAATAGTTGTGCAACCATGTAACTTCATTGAGGATCTGTGCCTTTTATTTGAAATGGTATGACTTACTGTCTTTATTTTTTTTAAATGTAATAGCTCTTTAGCTAGTGCTTGTAACAATCTCATTTTATAGGCTTTGAGAAGTTCTTAATGTGGAAAGCTTCTCATAATCTTACCCTAGTGTTGCTTGATCGAGACTTAATGCTATCAGACGAATGTTCATGAGTAATCCTGTACGTAACAGGTAATTTATAGGTAGTAGGAGTTCAGGTAAATTACAAATAGCAAAAGAATATTAATTGTTAATAGTTACTGTTATTTTTGTTAAGGTAGGAAGACATAAGCTGAAAAGTAAGTCATGCCATTGGAAAAACATTATACTGGTAATTCACATCAAGCAAAAATGCAACAGTTAAAAGATGGTTTTTTTGTGAGGGTCTTGCAGCAGGGTAATGTGAAAACCTGCACAGCAATACTTAGATTTCTGAAACATCTTGGTGGGTTTGTTTTGTTTAAACTGTTAAGCTTATTCTGTAAGACATAAAACCAATTAGTGTTTCACACTAAATTCACCAGCATATAAGGTTTAAAATAAACACTTTACAGCCTTGTAGAGCAAATTATGGGGTGCTAGTTTTAAAACAAAATTCTACTAACTTTGTTCTTAGAATATTTGTTAGTTGTGTGTTCAAATTACTATGATTTTTCAGATTGAAAAAGCCAAAGCTTGATGAATTTTTGAAAGCTGATACGGCATTTCATAATTATATTAATGTATGAACTGTTTTCAAATTGGGTAACTCTTTTCCCTACTCCAGCTATTTCAGCTTTGGGAAACAATACTTATGGCATTCTTGTGTGTCAGTTTGTGTTTTAACTCGATGTTGTGATCACTTGTTGTCTTTAGCTTGTGTGCCTCACTGCTGAGCTCTGTAACTCAAGTTTTTGGAGGGTCTAGTTCAAGGTGATGCTGTTCATCAGAGAAAGCACCTGGGTGGAGAGATGTCTCAGGTGGTTGGAAAATGTCTCATCTTTGCACACATCGTATTCCTATTTGTGGACTACAAAATAATACAATTTTTACATTAATTCTAAGACAAAATATAGGCATTTAATGATGCTTTTAACCAAGAAGTATTAACTGGCCGTGGATTAAGTCTGATTTGTTCTAAATACTGTGAGTTTATTTCTTGAAAGTATATTTTGCTTGCTGTGGATAAATAGTGAATAGTATGGCTTAAAATGTCCATTCAGAATACAGGGCACTGTAGGAATAGTATATTCTTTCTGCTGTGTTGTGGATGGCAGGTATACAGACTTTGAGGTTATTGACTTGGCAGTGCCCTTTGAGGCTTTTTAAGATTAAAAGGAAAAATTAGTGCAAGTAATAATAGTATTTTTTTCCCCACAACATTTAGTCATTAAGAAAGTAGCTATTCAGCATCTTGTTATTTGTTACTACGTACTAGTATTCAAGCAAGTAGTTGTTCTGGAAGTAGTTTTGCTCTTGGTGCTGTAAGGAAGCATTTGCCACTTCTCTGCTAATCAGTTATTTTGTATTTCCAGGTAGTTCTTAATGTCCTTGTTTTTCACTTGGGGCTCATGCACGTACTGGTAGCAAATCAAAAAGGCAAATACAATCCTTCTTAATAACTTGTGCTTATGCAGTGCAGGAGTGAAGGGACAGCTGTTCTTAACTACTACATGATCCAATATGCAGAATCCAGTTGCCTTTAGTTGCTTGAGTGATCATAATAATTTGCAGAAAATGGTTGCCCTGAAGGGAAGATAGTTCAAGTCATCAGGTCTGTTCCCAACAGACTATCCTGATAGTACCTTAGTGCAGTGTCTGCAAAGCCTCTGCATCCTGATTACATGGGTGGGGGAGCCCTATCTTTAGAGTTAAGTTTCAACTTCTCAAAAGCAAGTTGGTTCCATAATTACCTTTGACAACAAGATTTGACAAGGTGTTCCCTTAATTTTGTTTTAGAGCTTCTAACAATGACATGGACGTTTAAGGTAAGTTACGTCTGAGTAGACTTACCTTTCTTCCTGACAGAGTTCAGTTTAGTTACTTTCTGTCTGAAAGTGGAGGACAAAGTTTGGGGAAACTGAATGAGGTCTGAGCCTTTGGCTGTTTTAGGAGACAGCTGACAGCAACTATGATTAAAAAGAACTGCAGCTGTGCTCTGGCTA